TTCCAAATTAAAAATAATAAATTTTCAACAATGATTTTTATATAAATACACAATCAGCTTCTCATATTGTTTATTGGTACCCACTAACACGGAGACAAGAGATGATCAAAGTAAATTACGAAGATGAATAATACCTGAACCAGATCTAAGAAAGAAACAGATACGATTCCCAGTAACCGCTTACTGCGTGCGACTAGGGCAAAATACATTTGTGGTTAAATTGGTGTATTTTAGTTGTCGATGGTAGGATTCCAGGAAATGCGAGGGAAACTCCTAGTCGAAAAAATTAAATTGTCATATAACAATTCATATCGCGGCTATTTACGGTTTCAACTTTTATGTTAAGCCAATTATTTTGCCAATTTTTTTTTATTAAACTATGTGTGATTTGCAGATGACTTTTGTTGTGAAATAGATATTTTTATGGGTATAGTGCATGGGGGACAAATTTTCTTTGAGGGAAAAAAGCATGGGGGACGTTTTTTTTTTTTTTTGTGGGGAAAGGAAACTTCTAGCCACGATGAACTTCTGTGTGTAGAGAAATATTTGTGGGAAATATACAATCCCAACAAAATATAAAATTTGTGGGGAAAAGAGATATTTAGCTACAAATTAAACTTTGTATGAACGAATTTTGTGGGCTAAGCATAATTTTCTAGTAGTGTTGGTAACCATTCCACATGACCTTGGTACCTGCAAGACAAATAAAAATGGGTGAGACAACTATGTGGGGCGGACATTTTGACTTAAGAGCTACAACATTACAAAAAGGAAATAAAAGAGGAGGTCCACACTATGTTTGATTGCAATCAAACATCCTACCCTTCTTTTGTGTGAACCACATGCTATATTAGCATGATTGAGGCCTCCTATACACTCCCCCTACACCCCATTCGAACCCCAAAGAGATAAGAGAAAAAAAGGACCCACACAACTCAAGAGAGAAGGAAGGAAGAGAGCAGTCCGCAGGTTCGTTCTTCAGTACGTAGTGCTGCTTGTTTGATCCATAACTTGCGTTTCACTCGTCCAAATAAGGCGTATAAAATACCAAGAAAGCTCTCAAGACGAGGAACCCGTGAAGGTCTGGTTTGCATCAATCGGAGTAGTGGAAGGCTTCCAAATCGTCAGAGCAACACACAACCTCGCAGAAACGGATTTACTCTTTTAAAGTGAGTTTAAACCCCAAAACCTTTCCTTTCATTTTCCAATTGATATGAACGATTGGTGGAACTATTATACACTACTCTAAGTGTATGATATGTCCTTACAAAGTTATTTTATTGATGTAAATGTTAGATACTAACCTAGAGAAAATCTTGGAAAGACTAGGAACGGAGTTTGCCGGAAAACACCCATTCTAGGGGCTGTTTTCGTATCGACGTTTAGGGGTTGAGCTAGCACTTTGAGGAGGTTTTTTAACACTCATATTTAAGCAAGGAATCAGTCCTTAATCCACCTTGACCGAATCTTTGACCGTTGGATCAAGAAGGAAAAGTTTAAAGCTTAATTAAGGTGAAGATCGACATCTAATTACTTACAACTTGTAGGTTAAGCATGAGATTACCTAAATGCCTAAATCATAATTTTTCATGGATTATGATGATTAAATATTGATGAAATATTGATATAGTTGTCAAAGAATGAAATTGGGAATGATTTGAGGTTGTATGAATAATATGAGATTAAATGAGTTATAAATGAACTATTGTGTGAAATAGGCATTTTACTCATGTATGAATTATGTGGATACATAAATGGATCTTTATGTATTGAGAGTGAATACTTAAGATGCTGCTACATAACTATAAATATGTAGAGAATTACAAAAAAAGAGAATATTTGTATGATAACAATAATCTTAATAGTATTGAAATACAAGTTAGTGGTTATTGGAAATTGTTGATAGAATTGATCCTAGGGATTGGATTACATGAAAGGCACTTGAATATACTTCAAGTGTATATAATGACTTAGTATGAAGCTAAGGTTAAGTTATGGGCAGTCTTTAAGGATGACCCATGGTAGTTTGTTGATATGTCAATTCTAGGCATATGTTTGATTAGGAATTGGACCTTGGTGCATGGTGATGTGATAGAGCCGAGCTCTAGGATGCATGGTAAGGTGGTAGACTTGTAGTCTATGTATTGTATAACTAGAGCCGAGCTCTAGGGCTTGCGTGGTGATGTGATAGAGCCGAGCTCTAGTACGCAAGGTAAAGAAATTGACCTAAGTGACATGAATTGTATGGTGATGTGATAGAGCCGAGCTCTAGAATACAATGTCATGTATTAGGGTTGGACTCTATGAGTTGTCGTGGCTTATAGTCACGGGGAATGGGAATGGTGATTTCTAAATGAACATGGGCCCACGGGCCGACTACTTGACTTTTATATAAAGTAAGTATATTTTCAAACGGGGTAACTTAGGGTTACAACCACATTGTACTATCACCCTATTTGAGGGTCTTGTGTTTGAAATACTTGTTGTATATCTATTAGATGACATCCAGACCAGTACTTTATAGCCCTGGCCTATAAAGTACTGACATCTTCGGGGGCGTCCCACCACCATTTCAGGTTGAGGCTAGAGGTTGCATCATGTGCTCGTTGATTGAGTGATCCCTCGGAGAGAAGACTTGGTTCGTGCTTCCTCCATTCTATTTGAAACATTAATAAATTTGCTCATGAATATTTTACTTTAGGGCCTGCGTGCTCATGATTGCCCCGTGTGGCATTGATTTTAAACTATGTTTTCCGTTGCGTATTGAATTGTTTATTATGTATGTTTATGGATGACTTATGTGTGAATGATATTCATGACGCCTGGTATAATATGGATGTGGTCGACTATGGTTGACTATTCATGTTGTACGGCGGGTTGTTGACGTGTCCGGGTAGGCCCGGGGCGTGACAGACTGTTTCTTGGCAATCAAGATTGCAGAAGTGTCACTTTATCTACAACAGAAGCAGAATACATTGCAGCCGCTGAAGCTGGTAAGGAAATGTTGTGGCTAAAGCGCTTTCTCCAAGAACTTGGGATCCAACAGAAAGAGTACAAGGTACATTGTGACAGTCAGTGTACTCTAGACTTGAGCAAGAACTCCATGTACCATTCTCATGCAAAGCATATTAATGTTCGGTATCACTGGATACAGTAGACGATTGATCTACAACTGTTGAGACTAGTGAAGATCAATACAAAGGAGAATCCATCAGACATGCTGACAAAGGTGGTGACACGAGTTAAGCTAAAGCTGTGCAGAGACATAGTCGGGATGCTTGTTTTGAATATGCCCGGAAGGGGAAAATTGAAGGATTCAATTTCCAGGACATATCCAAGTACAAGCAAATTGAAGAATCCAATTCCTAGCTTTCATGAAGCTTCCTCAATGTGCAAGAATGACAAGGGGAGCTTCCTCGACCACCATTGAAGCTTCCCCATGTTTAATCACACTTTCCTTCCACCTTCTTAGTACCTATTTTTGGTGCTATAAATAGAAAAGTTTGGAGAGTCTTTCTATCATCAAGTAAATTAGATCATAGATTATCATAGCATAATCAAGAAGAGTTGTGATTATCCTTAAGAGATATGTGAGGTGTTTTTGAGAGTTTTCTTGTATGTCTCTTCTTTCTATTCTTGAATTGAAAGTAATATAGAAGTGTGTTATATAGAGCGAACCCAAAAGTTATCCTCTTCATTAGCACATAGCACATATATACATGGGAATTAGGGTGACGCTAGTTAATGGGCTTAACCCTAATAATACATATGGACCGGGGAGTAATGGACATCCACATATTACATAACAAAGTGTTTTTTTCTCATATTAGCAGGATCCTGCATGTTATTCCTAACAGAACATGAAAGCTATTGGGAGCTGACACAGACACCCGACGAACACAACTATACTTGGAGGCGGTGAGAAGACAAATAGGGGAAGAAGAAATAAAGAAATAAGGGGGTAAGAAACAAAAAAGAAAGAAAGAATGGAAGAAAGAAATTGTAGGGGTAGAGGATCGGAGAGGAAAGCCAACGAGAAGAGGGAGGAAGAAAGAAAGAAGAAATAGAAAGGGAGAAAAAAGAAAAAGAAAAATGTGTCATGTGTCGCCACATATACTTGAATAATTGGTGGTTAATCTATTAAAAAATTGATTTGACCTTTTTTGAAGTTTGAGTTTTCAAATGAGTGATATTTGAGTTGGTGGATTTGATTGACATTTTTATAATAGTAGAAGGGTTGATTTGACACTTTTATGTTTCTGGGTAAGAGTATGTTATATATGTGTTCAATCCATGGGACACATGTGGTAGAAATTTGATCATGTGTATGGGGTAGGATAATAAAGCAATTCGCTACTATGATAGTGTGATGCTTCATTTAGTGCCATCCATCCATTGTGTACTTTATTTAAAGATGTAACTAATGTTGTGTGGTTGAGATTGTTCCTTTTTTAAGAAATTTGATATGAAAATGACCAGATGTTTTCTTCACCTTCAACACAACAATGTGTTTCATTCTCAAATAAAACTTTCTATGAACATGTGAGTATAAACTACTCAGCTCCTAAAACGAATACTCCATAACTGTGAATTAGATGAGAAGTCGGCAGACAGTATGTAAATACGTAATTATGCATGTAAGTTGCCCCCCATGCCGGCCCCAGGCCAGCTCCTCCGATCCACTAGAGTGAGTAAATGATTTATGTATTTATTTAATATCAAGTGTACTGTGCGTGGGGAGGTAAGGTGGGGGAAGCATGGTTTGAATGCCCGATATATACATACGTATCCTTAATTACCTACGAATCGGAGAATGCATTGCATGAGCTAGCTAGTTCCATCGTTTAACCATAATATATGCATACCCGCTCGCGGATATAATGGGAGAGCTAGGTAGACAATTAATGCACCTGCACCCAGCAGTAGCTCGATCGCTAAATTAATTAAAGTAGCTCAGCTAGTCGTATAGTATATATAGTAGTGAATGAATTAAGCTAGCTAGATGTAGACGTAGTAGTATATATTATCCTCGATCTATCGGCTCTCATCTCATCTCTGCTGAGTTGAGCTAGCTAGCTTCAATTCAATATATATATATATATATATATACGTACTGTACTATACTAGCGTGCATGTGCGGCGTGATAAAAGATGTCGAGAGAGTTAGATGAAGATGGCATAATATCATACAGTGCTGGTAGCAGGAGGAGTTTGGCTTCCGGGAGCTGGCAATCCGGCAGCAGGCTCCGGCAGAACGGTGGGCTCGGTCGGAGCTCGCGGCGGGAGGAGGAGGAGTACGAACTGGTGTGGGCTGCCATTGAAAGGCTGCCCACGTTTGAAAGGATGAGGAAAGGAATGCTGACGAGGCATGCGGCGGCCGTAGTAGGCGGTAGCGGTAGAGTTGTTGCGGAGGAAGTGGACGTCACCAAGCTTCGGAAGCAAGAGAGGGAAGTGCTATTGGAGAGCATTCTCAATGGGGTTCAGGGAGAAGATCATCACGATCTTCTTCTCAGATTTAGGGAACGGATTGATCGGTACGTTATAATAATCCCTCCATATTTTTTTTACTTTCTAGTTATTCTATGCATGCATTCAAAAATTTGCTATACTTTCCTTTTTTGTTATGTTTTTCCTTTAAAAGTATTCAACTATCATTATTGTTTCTACCTTTGATCTTCTTTTTCATACTTTTCCAGACTAAAGTATCAAATAAGTTCTTGAACTAACTTAAAAATTGCAAATCATCCCTTATATAGGAGGCTTTGTCCGGCCGCTGTCATTTGGGGTGGTTCCCGGTAGAATTTTTTGATGAAAATGTACTTACCTATACCGTTACTGCCTACTTTTAAACCACATTTCCAACTTTTTCTACACTATTCATTATCCCTACTATTTCACTCTTAAACAATACATGTGTCAACACTTATTGTAGTAAACAAAAAAATATGGAGGGAGTAATAATTGGAAAAATTCCCGAAAGTATCCAAAATATGATTGCCATATTTTTATTCCCAAAATATGAGTAATTAGCATAGAAAATATTGTCAGTCTGGTACTGTAAAAACATGAGAATAATTAATTCTATTTTGGTAAAAAAACATGATAGTTCTATTTTGAAATATACAAATAGAAATTACTCCAAATAGGACTAAAACTACGGTAAAAACTCAAAATAGGACTTGCTGTTAAATGTCCCACACCGGAAACATTTGGATGAACAAAGTGCTATATATTAACACATGGGCTAGCTACCCCTCCTATCAGGTTGACCTTTTAGGATGGAACCCCGGGTCATAACATGGTATCAGAGTCAAATCAATCCATGGTGTGGGGCCCCTTATGAAAAAAAATGGACCGATGAAAAAAAATGATTGATTGCACGATCCAGACGAAGTGTCTGGTCGTGATGAGGGGTGTTAAATGTCCCACACCGGAAACATTTGGATATATTAACACATAGGCTACTCCTCCTATCAGGTTGACCTTTTAGAATGGAACCCCGGGTCTTAACACTTGCTATGTTTTTTATTTCAAAATAGAACCATATTAGTCCTATTGGAAACATACCTATTTTTCATTTCATTCTTACCCTTCCTTTAAATATGAGTAAAATATAGTCAAAAGTCCTAATTAAATATTTAATTCATAATAAATTCGAAAAAAATCAAAAAAACGTAGAAAAATAATAAAAAAAATCAACAAAATATTTATAAAATAAAATAAAATTAAAAAAACAATTTTTCTAATTAATAAAAAATAGTAAAACTCCATAAAAAAATTAAAAAATATATGGATGCCTTTCCCACCGCCTGTACTACCTCCCTGCACCACCATCTCCGACCGGTGTAAAAAATGTCATTTTTTTAAAATGCTCAAAAAAATGGCATATTACTCTTTGAGAATGCCAACATTTTCACTGTTTCTGCAAAACAATATGGCATTCCTAATGCAAGTGACATTTTCCCCCCCCCAGTGACCCGAGGTTGTGGTACTGCCTCCCTCCACCACCACCTCTGACCGGTGTAAAAAATGTCATTTTTTCTAAAAACTGCCATTTTTTCTGAAAATGCCAAAAAATGGCATATTACTCTCTGAAAATGCCAACATTTTCATTATTTTCTGCTATAAATTCGGCATTCATAATGAATTTGGCATTTTCCCTCTGGTGACTGGAGGTGGTGGTGCTGTGGAGGCAGAGGCGGTGGTGATTTTTTATTTTATTTTTTGCGTATTTTATTTTTAAATTTTTTTAGTTTTTTTAATTTAACTTATTATTATTTAAATATTTTTATTAATTTTTAGTATTTTTTACAAATTCTTATTATTTTTTATTATTTTATTATGAATTAAAACATTTCAATAGCAACAAAGGTATATTTGTCCAACACATACATAATTAGTCCTATCAAAACATAGTTTACTTTTTGGTCCTATTTGTGCAAACTAACAAGTTTTTAGTCCTATTTTGATAATTAACTCATATTACGATTTTAATCCTATTTAAGGTAATTTTCCTAATAATTACATTCCCTATAAGTAGTACGTAACGTAGTATTTATTTTAAAAATATAAGACGTACAACCTCTGTCACTAAAATTCTTATAAAATTTATAAAAGTTGGTTACTAATTTAGTCTTATTTGGTGATAAATAAGAATGAATCTTAGATGTTGAATTGGATTATGTTGCAATAAAAAGCTTCATTTGACTCATTGTGAGGTGACACTTTCATAAGTAGTTGTGGAAATGTGGTGTTGTGTCACTTGCTGGATAATGAAATTGTTTTAGTGAAACATTGTCAAATTTAAGGGCTCGTTTAATAGTTCACATATTAAAATTTTACAGATAAAGTGATTGCATGTAAAGTTTAGGGCGGTGAAATAGTTTGCATGTAGAATAAAAATACGAAGCACATCGTTTGGTTATTCGTGTAATCTATTTTTAAATTACACGCAAATTCTTTACATTGTTTGTTAATAAACAAACAAACAAAATGAAAGAAATACTAATTGACAAAATGAAAGATGCGTATGAAACTACCAGAAGAGAGAGGGACAGGGTGCAAGGAAGAAATACAAAAAAATTGTTGAACTTCATTTCGATATCAGCTCTCTTCCTCAAAATTATGCATCTATAAGAACAAAAAACACAGGTATATCTATATATACAGAATATACTACGTGTGTGTATATATATAAATATACTATATACAGTATATGATAGAGAATATAAAAAAATAATATAGAATACAAAATAAACTTTGGGTATTAAAACTAATCTTGGAACGTGCTTACAATGCCAGCTAATATGGAGGAATGGTTGATGATTTTTTTTTTACTATGCATTGCGGCCGAGATTGTTGCTGTACCGCCTTACCCGGGCGTCTCTAAATTATACGGAGCAGGTTTAAATTGTAAATTGGGAATTATAATAGGGCCAGCTTTGATACCATATACAAACAATAGTGTTTAGGAGGTAATCGCGCACCCTATTGGGTGCCGTATGCTTATATTTATAATAAAACGTAATTAGGAGAATTACACATAAGTCCCAAGATAATACATTATTAAATATTACTAATAAATGGAGTCCGATTAACCAAAAAGTGACTTTTAACTTATTTTTCCCAAAAAGTGATTAAAATACTAACAGAATCGCTACAGTAACGGTTACTGTAGTGGCGCTACAGGAACCGCACTATAGTGACAATACTACAGTGACGTTGCTATAGTGACGTTGCTACATATACAGTGAAATTCTTATAGTGAGTCAGTGACACAACGAAAACATTTTTACAGTGACTCCATTCCACTGTGTTTACCGCCCGCCGATCGACCACAGTGATACCGTCACCGGTGACACCATCATAGTGACACGAACACTATCGGTGACACCGCCACAGTGACATGTCGACTTCGATCATATATAGTGACACACGGCACACGCCCCATCCTGCCCCTGCTCCTCACAGCCCCGTCACCCGCCTATTTCGCCCCAACGCCGTCACCGACCATGGACCACTGCCGCCGACCAACACCGTCAGCACCGCCCCACCCCAACTTAACTCGCCAGCCCCCTCGCAGCCCTCCTCCCAGCCTTGCAGTCTCCATCACCAGCCCTCCAATCCCCTCCCTTGCTCCCCTGCCCCGCCCCCTGACCTCCCCCAATCAGCTCTCTGATCAGGTCCCACCACCATGGATTCCGGCGCGAACAGTCCCCTCCACCAGCCCCCCAACCACCAGGCCCAGCCCCACATCACCCTCTCCAGCCCTGTCTGGCCAGCAACGACGCACCCCAGCCCCTCAAGTCACATCTACTTCCAAGCCTCGCCCAAAAAACCTCCCTACCCGTATCCCACCTGACTCACCCAGCTACGAAATCAGATCTGGAAAATATAAGAAGGAAAACCCCCAGATCTGAAAGGAGAAGAAGAATACAGGAAGATCGGAGAGGCATATCCCTATGTCGAGGTTCGCCGACCTTCTTCAGAGGTGGGCCAGCGGAGATGCAGCAGATAGGCACAGCGAAGCTTAGAGAGGAGGACAGGCGGAGAGAAGTCGTCATGGCCGTGAGAAGAGAAAGATCGGCGTGGCACCGTGTCCGGTAGCGTATGGCGGCAGAGAGGAAGCTACGCCGGTTGTGCGGGTAGAGAACTGCCATGGCTGGAGAGAGGTCAAGCCGTGTGGAGAAGAGAAGTCGCGTGCGAAATATACTCCGTAGAAACTCTATTAAGTGATGGATCAGTTTTATGGAAAAAAAAAATTAAAGTGGTCATATTTTTGAAATTAGAAACTTTGGGAGTAATATTGGTGCCATTATTCCTTGTAAATTTTAGGTACAGTATAAAGTGTTTTTAAAAAATGACTTACAATTTACATTAAATATTTAAAACAAACAGTATAAAATGTTTACTTCCCCACACTTCGCATGCAAACTGTTAACTTTACATCATGCCAAACAGGCCCTAAACCTAAAACAACATAAAATTATTTTAGTGCAATATGCTAAATTCAACGATTGAGATATAAGTATTAATTCTCATTTCTGATATTAAATACGGAGTATATTTCACACCTGAACACACACATATATATCATACAACAAACACGCTGACACGCATATATATATTATATACACTATCTGATGACAATAATTTTCAACTTAATTTACTCAGTCATACAACGACATTTTTAAAATAAATAAATTGTACCATGGGGATGCAGAGTCGGGATCGATATGCCGAAGATTGAAGTACGGTTTGAGCATTTGTCAGTTGTGGGTGAGGCTCTTGTTGGGAGTAGAGCATTACCCACTTTAGCAAATTACACCATGAATGCAATTGAGGTAATTAATTATTATTGACTTTGCTTTTTTCATTTAAAAGTTTATCCTAAATTATGTTATTTTCATAGATGAAGTGCTATATTTTTTCCTTCAATAAGAATAATTATTGTAAATTGAATTAATTACTGATAATTATTACTGATAATGATAGCATTGATTGTTTAATATTAATGATCCATAATTTCAAGATAGCATCACTTATTCTTTCCTTTTCTTAGTTTCAAACTTTTTCTTCCAACTTTTCATTTTTAATTTGTCAGATTAGAGCAAAACCTCTTTAGGGTTCGACTTAATTAAATCTTAGTTGATATTGTATAAATTCTTTTTAATACCTAACTCTACTAGTAGGTTGGTAAAAAAAAACTCTACTGGTAGGACTGTCATTTTGAATTGAAAAATCGAAAGTCAAATTGGAAAAAAAAATGAATAGCGTTGAGAAAAATCGAGCAGAAACGTGATGAAAAAACTTGAATCAATGTCCGATGTGATTGAGATTTAAAAAATTGAGACCTGTAATTCTGTAAAATACATCGATTGGAATCGGTTCATGTACATTTTTTTGAAACCTAGACTAGCAATATTATTAGTTCAAAAGGTCATTAGCCAATTGGCTTACAATACAATCCGGAATAACATCATAACTACTACTATGATTGAGAGAGATACGTGTGCTCTAACAAGACTATGAGCAACACGATTCGCAGACCGTTGACAAAAAGAGATAGAGAAATTACTCTTTGTATGAACTAAATTTCGAATATCATCAAGGATCAAGTCCAAATAAGCCAAATTGCCGCCGCGTTGAACACCGCGAACAATCACATGTGCATCAGATTCCACCTCCACCTTCTCCATCCCTCCGCCATGGCCACCAAAAGCACATCTCTTATCCTCATTGCTCCTGCTTCCGCTGGACTCCAATCGGCTCTCACTGACCCGCCACCTGCTTTAACAAAATCCCCTTGATCATTCCTTGCGATCCAACCCCACGCTCTCCTTCCCCCTGAATATCCGTTGTTGCATCCACATTTATCTTCAAATAATCTGCTCTCGGCTTTCTCCACCTGGGATTTCCTTTGCCATGCCTGCTGCCCGCCGGCTTCGTGCCCCCCTGTGCCTCCCTCCACGCAAGAAGCATGCATACACACAGCTATTCAACAAGTTGGCCGTATCTTGCGTTTCATCCTCCCAAACTAGGGAATTTCTTCTCTTCCATAATCCCCATGCTAGCATAGTCACTTTACAACTCAACTCTTTATCCGAATTCAAAAAAAGTTTTTTAAGCCATACCTCTAAGCCTCTAAAGATTCATCCCCGCTGCCGAGAGCCACTCCCGCCGCCCTCCAAACTTCGGCCGCCTTCGGGCAAGATTTTAGAGCATGCTCCGTCGTCTCTTCTCCGTGGGAACAAAACTTGCACACAATCGGGATAGATACCCCCTTCCGCTCGAGATTTTTAGCTGAAGGGAGAGATCCATCCAACACCTGCCAAATAAAATATTTTACCTTAGGAGGAATTTTTAGGTCCCACATATCTTTCCATCCACCCTAGCCCCCTGCTTCCACACTTTGCATAAGAGTTTTAATGTTTTATATCAACTCTTAACTGAGAAGAGGCCATTATTGCCTTTGCTCCACCAGAAGTTATCCTTCGTGTCATTCAGACTGATAGGAATGTTGCATATAATTCTTCTTTCTTCTTCATTAAAAATATGGTTTTGCGCCTAACCGAACTGAAAATTTACAAATTAAAAATAATCGCAGTTCGAATCATCTACAGCAGCTTTGTTGGTGAGGCGAAAGCGGAGCATGAAAATTGTAATTGACGTCTGGGGTTCGATTAGTGGATCGTACTATTCTTGTTTTTCAACTTTCAATACTGTTTCCAAAATGTTATCCCACACCAGAATACGAGATGTGCTCCTCCAAATTTTTCTATATAACCGTGCGATAAGGTCATGGGCTTAGACAGCTCAGACTAGGCTCGATGAGATAAGGTTAATGGGCCTACTCAGTCAGATTAATACCTTTTATCGGGAACGACTTGTATGGAGAAAAATTCTAAGGTTACCCCATTTTGTACTCCCTCCCTAATTTTGTGGTTCACAAAGGCAATGAGTTAAAGTGGGGCAATTATTTTGTGGGATTGTGATTTTGTGAGTCACTCAATGAGTGAGGTACCCCAAAATGGGGTACATCTAGGATTTCTCTTGTATGGATGAATATTTTACTCAACCAACTCTTGTATGATACATTAAATATTAAACAAAACCTTTTTTTAAAACATTCTTAAATTTATTAAATATTAAAAATAACACATACTCCGTATTTAGTTGCTACTACATATTTGTGTGATAACATGTTGGTTCATGTGACTTGCTAACATGACGGGTAATCTTCTACTGGACTCAATTAAAGTTTTTTCAATGATCGGGAATTCGATTGATTTTTTTTAAAGTACGAGGACTTTATTGTCGTTTCGTGATAGTACTATGATCAAATTGATAGTTTTCCTCCAAAAAACTATGGATTTATTTAAAGTAGATATGAAATAATATTTCCCCTTTCAAATTGATAGTACAAGGATTTATTTGATGCCATCTTTTTTAATTTTTCCTCTCACGAAATGAACAATAGAATGCTTTAAGGATGGCTTACATTTCCCCTTCCAAAAGAAGACGCGTTCAAATACTCAAAGATGTGAGTGGCATAGTAAAACCATCAAGGTACGTATTTCATTCATTGTCCCAAATTAGTTAATTAGGCTTATCTGTATTCACATACAATGTTGCATTTTGTTGATAATAATGTGATTATATATGCTCAGGATGACATTGCTATTAGGCCCCCCTGGTTCAGGGAAAACTACATTGCTTCGAGCACTTGCTGGGATGCTTGATGATGATTTCAAGGTAATAATGTAGAAAGTAGCTAGACTACGCATGTAGGTGGACACATTTTTTGTACATCTATCGTATCCATAATTTACGTCTCTTAAATTTTCACAGTTTCCACTTTCCTTTTTGGATATCCTAAAATCAAATTCCTACTTCTCTTTTTGACAATAATAGTGTTGTGTTTGGGGTTTCCTGGAGTTTAAATTTCATATGATTTTTTTAGTTTAAATACTGTATATGCATAATGTTTTTTTTCCTCTAAAATTTTTGAGTTTGAATGTGCAAAAATAGTGAATTTTGTATGTACTGTATATACGGAGTATAATATAAACTTACTTTAGTACTGTATATTCTACAAAAGGTAAGAAATGTTGATATATTCACAGAACTAGATCTATTAATATTAATTTTGACATATCTAGAAAGTTATATTATTATTATTCAAATCGGGATATTCTATTAGCTTTTTCATATCTAGAAAGTTTTAATATTACATTCTATTAGTATTAATTTTGCCAAACATTTTTGTGTCAAATTATAATAAAATCAATTCGCAACAATTATGTCATGTAAATAAAATTACTTAGCAACTTCTAATTCATGGAGTTGAGTATGATAATATCAATGAAGTATAATAAAATGAATATATATTAGAGATTCATTTTTTTTGACAAACATATAACTACTTATTCATTTTCTAAGGCTACAATGGGATGAGACATAGAACATAAAAGATCTTATTAATCCTTCCAAGTCGCTAACCCTGCAATAATGTAGTCTAGTCTAACAGTTTTGCTGAATTTGCTATTCAAATGAAAACATGAAAGAATTATAACTAAAATATCATGTTTCACCAGCCACCGGAAAGAGATAATTGATTTGACCAAGTACTTATTACTTATCATTGTCATATCACATTTATTCAATAAATTTTAAATAATCTCAAATCTTAAAACTCTTCATCAACTCTGATACTCAAATAATTAGTTTTTTCTAGACCATGTATTAAATGCAATTTAACTACAACCTAAAATAGTTCGGGATTCAAATTTTGATACCGGATTATCTTTTTCAATAATCTCTCTTAATAATCTCTCACTCACAATGATAATCTTTAAAATAATCTTACACATCATTCAATTAAACAATAAATAATTTAAGGGATGTGGATGCCCTAAGGAGAACACAATTGTCTCTTTACTGACATAGACATTTTCCATTTTTTTAGAGAATTGGAAAACTAAAAAAGGAAAACAGAAAACATGCTTACTGAAAAAATTGCTGGAAAATTGGAGAAAGGAAAACAGGAAAATGTATTACCATATCATTTTCCAAAACCAAAGAAATGAGACATGTCTCTGCTTTGTTTAATGAGTTGGACAAGTGAGTTTTGGGCAATGAATTTACACACTTACGCCTAATGGTGGACCCAATCATGCTCCAGTCTCAGTTCTGATCCGATTCGATCAATGACCCGACGATCCATGTGTGGCCCGGTAAATGATCCAGCGGTCCATTCCTATCAACGACCCGGCGGCCCCTTTGCGGTCTGGTCAACGACCCGGCGATCCCTGTCTGGTCTGGTCAACAACACGGCGATCCCTGTATGGTCCGGTCGATGAACAGGCGAACCTAATCCAGTCCGGTCAATGACCCGACGAACCCTGTCCGGTCTGGTCGACAGTGCGGCGGTTCGGCTCCCGTTTTTTGAATCATTTTCCCAAAGTAAAGAGTTTCAAAAGAGCCTACGGGTTGCCAAGCAATAGGGCAAAAGGAATGGGATTAGTCGAATTACCCGTTGCGACCGATCGGAACCGGCCAGTTTCGATCCCACTTTGTTATATCCGGGACCAGGTACCGTAAAAGAACCAAACTTGGACCAAAGATAAATTCTCCGGTACACGATAAACTCTCTAAAATACTAGTTGAACCAGGAGGTGTTCAAGGCCGAAATGAACACAAACGTGAGAACCAAAGATGCATTCGAGGGTTTGTGTGTTATTCATTGTCTAGGTTTACGTAACGGCTAACGGTTCAAAGCAAATTGCTCACCGATTGTCCGGTAAATCCGATGGATATACACTAAGGTTGGTACAAAGTTTCACGGCTACCAAACCCTATTCAGAGTTCCCGTCTTCCTTTGTCAAATTCCAACATGTTTCCTATTTTAAACCAATTTCCCATTCATGGGGGGTTGGAAAAATGGTTCCACAAATTAATATTATGGTCATTAATATTATTTGTAAGAAGTCATTTTGAAATGAATGAGAAATTGTCTCCCGAAAGATAAGTGTGAAATTATTTCTCACACGTATGCACCACCGCCGTTGCCCAGCTGGCGAAGTCGGATTTCGAGTTCAGGTCTTTGACCAGTAAGCGATCGGACTTTAGATAGGAAGATTTATTTTTTTGCTCTCTTTGAATTTCGGATTTTTCTCCCATACGAGCAGTCTTGTTTGTTTGATTAAAGGTTCCCACCTTTTATTGGAGAGGTGTCTCTTGGAAGTCAGGAAGTGTGTCCTTGTGAGAGCACTATAAATCCAAGACCCCCTTCAATTTTCCATACTTCAATTTCCGAACATCAATCCACCAACAATTTGAAATTCTCCTTCTACCTTCGTGCATCTTTGAGTTCGTCGGAATCCCGTTAGTAGCGAAGAGTTGTTCTATCATGGGAGGCGCTTGCTACGTGTCGGGCAAAAACGTCTTAAGGAAATTAAACAACGTTTACGTTGGGCTCAATTTCAAGTAACTTTACGCTTTTTCCTTATCAAATTATTTTCTTATCGCATTTGCATGTAGAATTATAGTATATACATATTACAGTTCTAAGACGTAATAAATAAAACTGTTTGAAAATGGAAAACTGGAGAACTGGAAACATGTTTTCATATTTGAAAATGAAAAACTGAAAATGAAAACAAAAATTGGAAATAGAAAAACCGGAAAATTAAAATAGAAAATTAGAGAATGGAAAACAAAAAAAACTGTAAACTGTCTCTGTTAATAAACGGACGGAAATATTTTGTATATAGAGGTGTGTGAATAAGATGTATATGTAGCCATGTAGGGATGTCCCCCGGTTCCAAATTGAACGGAGCCAGAATTGCATCGTTGGTTACGTTTTGAATTTAAATTGGAATCACACAGTTTGAATTCCAATCTTGCAGTTGCAGTTCGGTTATCCGGTTTCAATTTAATTATTTTTTATATTTTAAAATGTAGTTATTCCCCTAAAAAATTGTTTTTTAAAAAAAATTGGATTAAGAATAACAAATAAGATTGTTCAAATAAAAGAGTTCCCAAAAAATTATTACCTTCGTCCCAAAGTGAAGTTAAATCACTCTCAATCATTATTTACTTTGTCAACTTAAATTACTCTTAATCTATTACTTTGTAGAATTTTTAATGTAGTTTCTGAATGCATAAATTCTATTTATTAAAAACAATCGGAATGATGGCAGAGATCGATGCGCTTTATCTACGATCAAACATTGTAAACTGAAACGGGAACTTATTTATGGGACAGTTGGAGTATTAGCATAACTAGTACTACTTCCTAGCCACCAATTCCGCGATCTCCAATCGCGTCGGCTTCCATAGCCACCACCTCCGCGGTCTCCACGACTCCACCTCCGCTTCTTCCATTGGAACGACCTTTAACCACACCGGCCTCCATAGCCCGTTAGCCACCACCACCACCTCCTCCATAGATCGGCAGTTGTAGACGCAGGGAGATGGAGTTGCAAACGTGCGGGGAGATGGAACGCCGGTAGTGGGCACTGCACTTGTAACAGGAACGCCGGTAGTGGGCTGCACCGCCGTGGCGGGTGCCTCAGTGGTGGCGGCCGTATGGTTGGGATGACCGGCCATGAGGAAAAGGGATTAAGAAGGAAAAATTACCTAGGCGACTGATACCATATACAAAACAATAATTTTGGGAAATAATGGTGTACCCTATTGGATGCCTTGAGGGTATATTTATACTAAAACAGAGTTTAGGAAATTACATAGTAATCCTTATATAATTACATTATTAATGGAGACGCAGGCATATGCAAAAGAAATAGGAAAAGAAGAAGGAAAAGAAAAATAAAAATAGAAAAGAGTAAAAAAATGCTAGTTGGACGTCCACGCAGGCGGTTAACCAGATAACCGATCGTCTACCTATTAATTAGCCGATTTGATCGTTTTTTGATAGTTCACATACTTGATTGACTTGAAAGAAGTACATGAACTCAATTTGACGTTTTTTTAAAAATACATGGACTAGTTTTGTTTAGTAATAAAAGTAGCTTCTTTCTCAAAAATAAAATAAAAAGTAGTTCTAGAAAAAAATATTGAATTTGATGATATCCCTCCATGCTCCCTCCCTCAGAAGAGCGGGAAAGTTACATACTGTGGACATGAGTTTGATGAATTTGTGGCTCGGAAGACATGCGCTTATATCAGTCAGCACGATCTTCACCACGGAGAGATGACAGTGAGGGAAACATTGGATTTCTCGGGGCGCTGTTTGGGGGTTGGATCAATATATCAGCTTCTGGCAGAATTGTCGAGACGCGAGAGAGCAGCGGGAATCAAACCAGAGCCTCAGCTTGATGCGTTCTTGAAGTCCATTTCAGTACCTGGTCAACACACCAGCTTGGCCACTGATTACTTCATCAAGGTTCTTCTTCCTTCTTTTCATTTCTTTTTCATGCTTTCCTAAGATGAACTTTTGAGGGGTTTAAGCTAAGAAGAAGCTTAAAAACGAGCCTTTCATCGACACCTATCGTAACCAGACACCTATAATAAGTAAGGTTCTTCAACCTTCACGGCCAGACCAACAAATCTTTTTCAACCCCAAAAATGTTCATCCTTCAGGATGACGTTATTTAACAGATAGAGGGGATTTATTGCATGCAATTTCTTGGGGCAGCAGATTCTAGGATTGGAAGGCTGCGCGGACATCATAGTTGGCGATGACATGAGGCGTGGTATATCTGGCGGACAGAAGAAACGTTTAACCACAGGTAATACTTTCAACAGCGGAACAACTTTTAGCATTCTGTTCCTATGCAACTCTTTATTATCGTCATCGTCATCATCATTATAAAACCTTTTTTTATTTGCAGGAGAAATGTTGGTTGGACCTGCAAAAGTTCTTCTGATGGATGAAATATCAACTGGATTAGACAGTTCCACAACTTTTCAGATCGTAAAATACATGAGGCAGTTGGTGCGCGTCATGGATGTAACGATGATCATATCCCTACTACAGCCTGCCCCCGAGACATACAATCTCTTTGACAACATAATATTGCTCTCAGAAGGCCAGATAGTGTATCAAGGTCCAAAAGAAAACGTTCTTGAGTTCTTTGAGGATAGGGGATTCAGATGCCCCGAACGGAAGGGAACTGCTGATTTTCTCCAAGAAGTGACTTCCAAGAAGGATCAAGAGCAATATTGGTTCAGAAATGACCAGCCATACAGATATGTATCAGTTTCTGAATTCGTAGAGGCTTTCAGTTCATTCGGGGTTGGGCAAAAGCTAGGTGATGAGCTTAGCATTCCTTATGATAAGTCAAAAACCCATCCCGCCGCATTGGTGCAAAGGAACTACGGCATCTCCAACCTGGAATTACTCAAGGCGTGCTTCTCTAGGGAATGGTTGCTAATGAAGCGCAATTCTTTTCTGTACATTTTCAAAACTACTCAGATAACGGTCATGTCCATATGTGCCTTCACTGCTTTCTTGAGAGTGGATATGCCATATGGGAGATTACAAGACGGTGGGAAGTTTTGTGGGGCTCTTTTCTTCAGTCTGATCAACGTGATGTTTAATGGGATGGCTGAGATTGCAATGACGGTTATGAGGCTTCCCGTTTTCTTTAAGCAAAGGGATCATTTGTTCTATCCGGCTTGGGCTTTTGTCCTACCAATTTGGCTCTTTAGGATACCCATCTCATTTATTGAATCGGGAATATGGGTTGTTCTTACATATTACACAATAGGATTTGCCCCTTCTGCCGGAAGGTAACAGTCCTTTGTTATGAATGAATTCACCAACCCCATTGAAAGTCGCACACTAAACTTTTAAGACTTCAAGTTCCTTCGTATCTAGAAGGATTACATGATAGGACTATAGGAGTAGGAGTTTTTTGTTGTTTTTTTTTAAATAGTTTTCTAATGTGAGACAGCTTAAATGAAGTGATTCTCATCATCGTTCTAAATTTCCTTGTCACTAACACTCACGAGTTCCTCATATCTGGTGACTGAAACTATAATGTAAGTTATTTAATCTGATTTTGACTGACAGCCTACCTTTTTTTCTTTTCTCATGTGTGTTCCAGATTCTTTCGCCAGTTTTTGACATTATTTGGTACACATCAGATGGCACTATCTCTATTCCGATTCATTGCAGCTCTTGGGAGAACAGATGTTGTTGCTAACACATTTGGTACATTTACCTTGCTATTAGTGTTCGTGCTCGGAGGCTTCATTGTTGCTAAGGGTATGTGATACTTTCTCAGTAATTTTAAAGCATTTGATGTTTTGAATCGAAGGATTTTAGACTGAGTCGAAGCAAGGCTGAGTGTATGGAGTGCAAGTTTGGTGGAGGTAGAAGTAGTAGTAACAATGAGATTGCTCTTGATGGTAAGGAGATATCGGTGTGTGATATGTTCCGTTACTTGGGCTCCATAATTCAGAAAGATGGTGAATTAGATGAAGATGTATCACATAGAATCAAAGGTGGGTGGATGAAATGGAAGGGTAAATTTATCGCAGAACAATATAATTAGGCCTGCATTAATGTATGGCGTAGAGAGTTGGACGGTGAAACGATGTCACAATAAAAGATTTGTGTGACAGAGATGCGTATGCTGCGCTGAATGTGTGAACATACCAGAACTGATATGTGTCTTCTTGGGTTGGACGAGAGTATGTCTTTGGAGAGAACAAAGTGGAGGGCACACATTTGTTTGGACGATTGATCTCTTTTCTATCTTTTGTCTCTCCTTTTTCTTTTATCGTTTATCTTATTTATCTTTCTATATTCCTATGTTATTTTTATCTTCTATCTTTCTTAATCTCTTTTATCTTTTTATCTTTTATCTTTCTTATGTTCTTATGTTATTGTTATCTTATTGGATTTATCATACTTTTTTTTTTATTCTTCTTTCTTCTATTTTGGCTCCAATTCTGTTAGAAGACCCCAAAATCTTTTGGGATTAAGGGTTGGATGTTTTGTGATGTTTTGAGGTTGAGTCGAGATCAGACAAGGGACTGCTGGATAATTTAGCAGCCTCTATATAATGTGTTTTGGTCAAAAATAACATTAGTAAATCGTGCTAGAGAGTCTCTTATCTGTAATTTGACCACATATTGCGCACCATATAGGAGATGAGCCTTTTTTTTCCTTTCTTTCTCTTTTTTATATAGGAGATGAGCCTCATAATCTTAGGCTAAAGGGTCAAATAGGTACATGAACTAACCTAAAGTGTTCAATTAGCCCCTTATATAGGAGTTTCTGCCCGGACGTCGCCAATTGGGGCGGTTCCCGGTGGAATTTTTTGATGCATTTTTTTGAGCATCTTCTTCATTAAGTCTAGTGTACCCAGACCAAATTTCAGCTAAAAATTCAACCGGGAAGGCAGTCGAATGATTTTCTGAAAAATTAAACAGCGCAGTACATTTCGGAAAATAATTCGACTGCCTTCCCGGTTGAATTTTTAGCTGAAATTTGGTATGGGTAAACTAGACTTAATAAAGAAGATGCTCAAAAAATTTCATCAAAAAATTCCACCGGGAACCGCCCCAATTGACGACGTCCGGGCAGAAACTCCTTTATAAGGGGTTAATTGAACACTTTAAGTTAGTTCATGTACCTATTTGACCCTTTAGCCCATAATCTTATAACATATGTTTTATGGTTGAGACTCGTGCATGCTTATGGTCTTACATATTATGAGTCTTGTTTAGTTTTTTTAAGTACGAGTTCACATCGTTATTGATTATATTATTACTATAAGGGCTCGTTTGGTAGTTTACACGTTAAATCTTTGCACGCGAAGTGATTGCATGCAAATTATAGGGAAGCAATCATTTTGCATGTAACATAGATTACAATGTTTGGCTAGATGTGCAGTTTATTTTTAAATTGCACGCAAAGTCGTTGCAGTGCTTCATAAAAGGCATGCAAAGTATTTTACCACCCCCCACGTAAAATACTTTACATGATACAATGCGAAATGTTTTAAAAAAGTGTCTTACAGTTTACATTAAATAATCAAACAAAACAGTGTAAACATTTTACATCCTTACACTTCACATGCAAAGTAATTATTTTAGGTCATACCAAACACCCCTAAGAGTGTTCTCAAAGTGAAGTGCTTTCTTGATTGCATGTAGATGACATTAAGCCTTGGATGAAATGGGGTTATTATGTTTCTCCTATGACTTATGTGCAAAATGCATTAGCCACAAATGAATTCCTTCACGAAAGATGGGGTGCTGTAAGTTCTTACACTAGTTCTTGTCTATATGGGAAATTTGTTAAAAATCATAAGTTGCTGCGGGTGAAACTTATAATTGTTCATCATGCAGCCAAATACAGATCCCAGAATTGATGAACCTACAATTGGGAGAGCGATTCTCAAGGAAAGGAATTTCGTTACTGATGACTACTGGTTCTGGATTTGCAACGGAGCCCTCTGGGGATTTTCCCTTCTCTTCAACGCTCTATTTATTGCAGCATTGTCTTTCTTAAACCGTAAGTAGATCTTACCATCATATGAATACTTACTTATAAACGTCTTAACCAACTAGCCTTGTTATTGTACTTCTCTTCTATATTTCAGCTTTCAGCGAGTCAAAGGTTTCACTTTCTGATGAATATGTAGAAGATAAGGGGAAAAAGTCATATCAAGGTTTGGCATTTTTGTCACTCTATAAGAATTCGATCTAAATCAGGGAGCCCGTTTGGTAGACACTTTTGTCTTATTTGAGGATAAGAAGCTTTTACTTTATTTGGCTGAAACTGTTGCAACCAAACACCTTCTTTCAGAAAATTTAGCAAATTCAGTCATTTTCAGCCAAAGAACTCTTACTAAAAGGGTCCTAAATAACAATCTTAGCATTCAAGATTATTGGTCTAATATACTTTAAGTAATAACTGTAGGTACGACTTCACAAGACAAACCCCAGGCCGTAGCGATCCAGGCATCTAGGAAAGGAATGGTTCTTCCTTTTGACCATTTGTCACTTTCCTTCAGCCACATTAACTACTATGTGGATATGCCCTCTGTAAGAAGTTATTCAAGTACCCTAATCCATTTCCATTATTTGAATTATTACCAACTGTACGGCTGGTGGTTACTTTACAACATTTTTCTTTCTGAACAAAGTTGGAGTTATCCCATATTGACTGATTATAAATATGATTAAACGACCCTTTATAAGCAGTTTTATCCCATCTGCTCTCTTTTGAGAGCTCTTTTGGGGCAGAGTGCTGAATTGCTTCTTTTCTGCATACTGATGTAAATATGGACACAGCAAATGAAGGGTGAAGGAATGAAGGAGGATCGTCTCCAGCTCCTTTGTGATATTAGTGGTGCTTTCAGACCTGGCGTCTTGACAGCTCTTGTAGGGGTCACTGGTGCTGGAAAGACAACCTTAATGGATGTCTTGGCCGGACGAAAAACCAGTGGGTACGTTGAAGGTAGCATCAGCATTTCTGGATACCCGAAGAACCAATCAACTTTTGCCCGAGTTAGTGGATACTGTGAACAAAATGATATCCACTCCCCCAATCTGACCGTCTACGAATCTGTCCTTTATTCTGCTTGGTTGCGCCTTTCTGCAGATGTACTTAAGAATACACGAGAGGTTGTGAACCATATTTCATTGAACTCATCTTTCCACTGAGGCTCTGTTTGTTTACATGAATCTATTTTCCTAGAATTATTTTCCAACTTTTCATAAGAACTTTTTTTCTTAGGATCTGTTTGAGCTGAGAAAATGCCAGTAAAACAAAACAGGGAGAAAAATGGATGTGGTATTTTGAAGGAAATAAGTTTTCAGGGACAATACTATTTCAAACTCAGAGTTTTTAAGGTTTTTGTACAAACCTCTTTTTATGTATATTTCCATTATATATTCTAAATAGAAGTAAAGATTTAATTGTCCAAGGTAAAGGCAAACATAAAGGACTAACTTCTGTTTTCTTCATTGTACAACCTTTATCTACATTGCAAACATAGCCTTGGACTTTTGTGGTGTCATGAAGTCGTTTTCTAAAACACTTTTATGGTTACTTTTTTTTGGGGTCAAATATATATTATATTATACACAAAAGAAATTATTTTCCAGGAAAACACTTTCCGGAAACATTTTCAAAAGTTGCTTTGTTGGAACAATTGGAGCTTAACTTCTATTGAAATGTCAGTTTTATTCCAAGGTTTTGATGACTAACTCTGTGGTTGTACTTTTGGTTGTATGTATGAGTGCAGATGTTTGTAGAAGAAGTAATGAGATTGGTTGAGCTTAATCCTATAAGAAATTCCTTAGTTGGGCTTCCTGGAGTTGATGGGCTTTCAACTGAACAAAGAAAACGGTTGACCATAGCTGTGGAGTTAGTTGCTAATCCATCCATAATATTCATGGATGAACCAACATCTGGTCTTGATGCCAGAGCTGCTGCTATTGTTATGCGGACCATAAGGAACACGGTTGACACCGGTAGAACAGTTGTGTGCACGATTCACCAACCAAGCATAGACATCTTCGAGTCTTTTGATGAAGTATGCCCCAACTTTTGATGGGAGTAGTTTGAAATGTATTCATATTTAATTTATTTGTGAGCATGTTGATAAGAAGCGACTTCTTGCAGCTATTGTTGATTAGGAAAGGAGGGGAGGTGATCTATGCAGGGCCTCTTGGCTTTAACTCTCAGAAAATGATTGATTATTTTGAGGTAATTATTTTTCTCTCACATTGTGTTTTGTTCATATCAAGCCATTGGATTTAAGTATGATACACAAGTGTGAGGTTTGAGTATCATTTTTGGGTGACTTGGACCAACGCCACATCAGGTGTCCAAATATATTAAGCTTAAACCAGCTACTCAGCCCTGGTAAAGAAACACATTACATGTGAACTTTAAGATTGATTTGCTCTGCTCACATGATCTATAATATCCATGGAGCGCCCATCCAGTTGATTGTCTGGAGAGTTCGCTTCGGCCTATTTGCCCAACCCGACTTGGGTCTGAAGGGTGGGTATCTATCGGGTCTGAGTTTCATATATAAGTTTGAGATCACTTCCTTAGGATCTATTTGGGGTGAGTTAGAACTTGTTTAACAGTTGTAACAGAGAAAAGTATCAATCTTCTTGTTAGGTTCATTGAAATTGATCCTTCTTGTAGGCTGTACCAGGTGTTCCTAAGATCAAGGATGGATATAATCCAGCTACATGGATGTTGGATATCAGCACTGATGCTGTAGAGGCCCAACTTGGAGTTGATTTTGCAGATATCTATGCCAACTCTTCACTTTACAAGTAGGTAGATTAAAGAGAGAGAGAGATGTGTTTATAAGATTTCAAGTTACAAACTGCACAACCGATCATATTCAGTTTAGGTTCACGTGTGTTATAGCTCTGTTGAAAATGAAGTACGATAGTATATGTTATGGGCTTGGTTGGGAGATAAAAAAAGAAGGTTGGAAAAATAATTCAACTTCCCGCTCTCGACAAGGTGTTTATCTTTTCCACCAAATGCACAAGAAGATAGTCCAGGAGTCCTGGTGGCCTAGTACAAGAGTAACCATAATTCTAAACAAAAAAATTTCATAAATCAAATTTAAATAAGAGTTTGCCAAATTAAATATGGGGAATGGTCCTAATCCTAGTAAAGCAAGGAATTTCTTATTTGACTCAACTTTCGATAGGCTAAATTAAGGAGTTGTGGAGATAAGCGGACTCGAACCGCTGACATCCGCCGCGACTAATAGGAAACTATAACTATTAATAACAATAGTAAACTAATACTAATAATAATAATGATAATAATAATGATAATACTAATAATACTAATAATACTAATAATAATAAAAATAATAATAATGGGCTTCTTCCGTCCATGTCATTAAATTTGCAGGAAGAATCAAGAACTCGTAAAAGAACTAAACACCCCACCTCCTGGTTCCAAGGACCTTCACTTCCCAACAAAGTACTCCCAATCATATGGTGAACAATGCAAAGCTTGTTTCTGGAAACAACATTGGTCGTACTGGAGGAACCCACAGTACAACGCCATCCGGTTATTCATAACAATATTTACTGGCATTTTCCTTGGACTTGCCTTTTGGGATAAAGGGAACAAATTGTAAGTTCACACACAGTTTTCTTAATTATCCTTGGACTCAATTAACTCTTGGTCTTTAAAGTTAACAAAGATCATTTACATTTGCAGCCAAAAGCAACAGGATTTGCAGAATATTATGGGAGCTATCTTTTCTGCTATAATTTTCATTGGAGCTACAAACACAACGTCAGTGTTAGCCATTGTTGGTGTGGAGAGAGCAGTTTACTATCGGGAACGTGCAGCTGGGATGTATTCAGCTTTGCCCTATGCATTTGCTCAGGTAACCGTTTTTTTTCAATCTCAAAAGAGCTCTTCCTCAAGAGATGGTAGTTGTTCTACACTTTTTAAGCCAATATGGTGCATAGTTTTATAAGTTCAATATTTAGAAGGATTGAGCTCGTATGCCATTTAGGCAAGAGATATTACCCAAAATGGGACTAAAAAAGTTTGAAAATCCCAAAATAAGACTTCCATGTTGCTATTCCCAAAATAGGACTAATTACTGCCATGTTTTGGCAGTACCAGACTTCAAACATGGCAGTATTTTCCAAATTTGGCAGTAATTAGTCCTATTTTGGGAATAAAAACATGGCAGTCCTATTTTGGAATTTTCGAACTTTTTTAGTCCCATTTCGGGAACTTTCCCTTTAGGCAAGTATTGAATGCCTTTTGATATCTAACGGTCCAGGGGCCGGCACTGCCTCTCTGAGAAGCATCATCGACCTACCCCTTCTTCATATACACTATTGTTTGGACTAAGAAATCGGATTTTAATATTTTGCAGGGTGGTATAGAAGCAATATATGTGGCTGTACAGACTATTTTTTACTGTCTTCTGATATACCCAATGATTGGATTCGAGTGGAATGTTGGAAAGCTTCTATGGTTCTACTATTTTCTGTATATGTGTTTCTTGTACTTCACACTGTTTGGAATGATGCTTGTAGCATTGACACCTGGCATCCAGTTTGCTGCCATTGTGATGGCTTTCTTCCTCACTTTTTGGAACCTCTTCTCTGGCTTCCTTATTCCCAGAACAGTAGGCTACATTTCGCTATACGTACTAAGATTTGAGTTTTTTGGGGGGTGGGGATTTTATATGCTACTATTCAGAACCCGACAACTATGTTGTCTATCACTCGAGGTCCTGAAAAATGAAAATTATCAAACACTATAAAAAGCAATTTCAGATCTTTTTATTTTTAATTTTTCTCACAATGGAAATTGTTCAAGTTTTAATTATTGATATGCTGACTTTTATATTATATAGAATTCTTTCACAGATAACATATTAAATTTAATACAGAAATTGATAAATGATTCTAAAATACTACGCTTGAGAGTTTATCATTAATTTCCTAAACTGATAATTTTTATGTTTATGTTCCTAATTGATAGATGATGAATATTTCGGGTCTTGAATTGATGCACTTCTGTTTTTCGTCATTTATTTTTTAAAAATTCTCTTTTCTATTATCTTTGTAGCAAATTCCGATATGGTGGAGATGGTACTATTGGGCCTCACCAATTTCATGGACGTTTTACGGGATAGCAACGTCTCAATTAGGGGATAAAGACGATCTGATTGAGATTCCTGGAGCTACTACTGTGACTTTGAAGCAGATTCTTAAATTTTACTTGGGTTTTGATTATGAATTCCTTCCTGTTGTTGGTCTAGCCCATGTTGGTTGGGTTTTCCTCTTTTTCTTTGTCTTTGCATGTGGTATCAAGTTATTGAACTTTCAAAGAAGATAATAACGTTTTCGTACATATAATGCTAATTTCTATTCTCAAATTCTCAATTAGTGTCAAAGTATATGAATAAATTTTCATAATGAATCATTGCTTTGAATGGATTCGTTTTGAACGTACTTTTGATGGTATAATCATATAATGCATTAATAATGGAGTTATGGAGTACAAACTTACACAGGGTATAAATATGAGTAGTATCTTGACACAGACAGATTAAATTTGAGTAAAAGATTTGATTAATAATAGATTAAATTAATTTGAGTAAAAGATTGAATGACAAGGAGTGATTGGTTCTAGGTAGGAATGGACCCCGTCTGGAACCGGATCAAGCGGACCGGCCCAAACCAGTTCTATGTAGGCTTGGACTGACTCTGTTTTTCGGTCCCGAGCAAAGAATGGGTACTAGTTTGGATATAATACCTTTGTCCCAAATTGATTTACAAATTTGACTTTTCTAAATACGGTAAAAATAAAAAATATGACTTCTTATGTTTTTATTCTTAAATAGGACCAATTTACTTCTATTATGAAATATAAAAAAATGAGGAAGCGGTCCAACTTAGCTGGTCACCGACTGACTCTCCCTTATGGAAGGTCTCGAGTTCGAAACTTAATGGAGTAAGTTTCAGGCCAGTTTATCCCAGGCCCCTTTCTCGTACGACCCCTGGAATATAAAAAAAATGAAACACAGGAAAATTAGCATCCCAATTTTGCCCATGCACCTATTTTCCATTCTTTCTCCTTCTCCTAACCTCAAATTCATCGATGCTTTCACGCTCAAAGCCTCAGATCCATCGAAGCCTCCATCACAACTTCTTCACTGTAGATCCGTTGACTCCACCGCTTCCACCACACGTCGTCTTCATAGCCTCCCCCGTCTTCATCGTCTCAACCTTTGTCACCTCCGCCCTCCAACATCTCCGCCCTCCAACCTCCGCCCGGGTACCCGGAATCGAACTAGACCCACAATTAACCAGGTCGGAGTCGGGCTTCACATACCAAAGACCGGGACCGGCCGGTTCAGGGCCACCCCTAATACCAGATCTAATCAGCAAAAACTATGGGGTTGTCTTAAGCTTTAGAAGGACAATAAAGACGTTCCTTGGGTTGTAGGTGGGATTTCAATGTCTTAGCTTCAATTTCAAAACATCAAGGAAGATCTGGACCAAACTATAATGGTATCATTCATTTTATAGATTGTCCGAATTATTGTGAGATACAGAACATTCCTTTTAAGGGGAGTATCTTTACCTGGACAATAAGATCAAATGGGAGATTGTGGAGACGTTTGGATAGATTTGTAACCGTTTGAAAACTTTGGTTATGTAATTGAACATCACTTAGGACACATCTTTTGATCATTCTCCTTTGGTGTTGGTTGCAACTAAAGGATCAGAATCAGGTCCTCAGCAATTTCGATTTCAAAACATGTGGGCATTGAATTGAAAAGTTCCTTGATGTTGTTAGTAAGAGTTGACATTCTACTAAAATTATAGGAGGGATGTGTGGTTTATATAAAAACTATAGATTGAAAATTGACTTAAAAGAATGGAATAAAACATCATTTGGCAATATATTTGAAGGCATTGCAAATACTGAACAAGAGGCTCTGCAAGCTGAACTTCTTTTTGAAGCTGGCTCTTCTATAAATATTAGAGAAAATGGTGAATAGCACAAGCTAAACTGCAACTTAAGCTCAAATAAGAAGAGAAATTATGGAGGCAAAAATCAAAAATAAAATGGCTCAAGTATTTTAAATAATCATGTCAAAGTCAGAATTAAACATGAGAAAGTACTTTCAATCAATGAAAAAATGGTCATGAATGTAATACTCAAGCCACTATTTGAGAAGCAATCGTGAATTGCTATAAAGATCTCTTTCAAGGTGATAGTTCAGATTAGGATGTTATGGATCTCATGTTATCATTTATCCCTAAACTGGTTTCTGATTTTTATGGGAAAAGGGTCAGATAGGCCCTCGAACTTACATAAAAAGTTCAAATAACCCCTTTTATAGGAGGTTCTGTCCGGACGTCGCCATTTGATGTGGTTCCCGGTGGAATATTTTGATGATTTTTTTTAGAATCTTCTTCATTAAGTCTAGTTTACCCATACCAAATTTCAGCTAAAATTCAACCGGTAAGGCAGTCAAATGATTTTCTGAAATATACTGCGCTGTTGAACTACGCAGTTATCTTCAAAAATTCATTTGATTGCCTTCCCGATTGAAGTTTTAGCTGAAATTTGGTATGAGTAAACTAGACTTAATGAATAAGATGCTCAAAAAATTTCATCAAAAATTTCCACCGGGAACCGCCCCAAATGACGACGGCCGGACAGAACCTCCTATAAAGAGGTTATTTGAACTTTTTATGTAAGTTCGGGGGTCTATCTGACTCTTTTCCCTAACTAACACAATTTCTACCATTCTTAAAGACTCAAACATAAATGAAGTTTTGTGGCATCTTAATAAAAAAAACAGCTCACCTCGACCTGATTGTTACTCAGGATCTTTCTTCAGAACATGCCGCGAAATAGTTGGCTCAAATGTCTGTATGGGTGTTAAGGATTTTTTTTCATGGGTCCTCCTATGCCTATTGCACTAGCCTCTTCCCAAATGCTTCTAATTCCTCAACTATCACTGCTTAAGGACTTAAGTCAATTTAGATCAATTTGTCTTTCCAACTTCATTAACAAGATTTGTACTAGAATCATAACTAGCAGTATGTGGCCTCTTATGCCTAGACTTATCTCACCAGAGCAGATTGGATTTATGTAAGTGAAAGAAATTAATCATCATATTTTAATTACTTGACAAAGAACTGATCCATTCTCTAAATAAAAAGGCTAGAGGAAGCAATGTGGTTATCAAGCTTGACATGACTAAAACTTTTGATAGGATATCATGGGAGTTTTTACAAGTTATTCTTGACAAATTTAGTTTCAATGATAAAGTTTTGAGCTTATCCTAAATAACTTGAAAACACACACATCTTTCCATTTCGATGAATGGTCAATTGCATGGTTTCTATAGTCCAACTAGAGGAGTCAAGTAAGAAGATCCACAATATCTTTTCTTGTTCATTCTAGTCTTAGAAAGCTTTTCAAGGGGGATAAACTCCATGATCACCTCGAAACAAATTGGTGCTTATTAGGTTGCAAGGAATGTACCACTTATTACTCACCATGCTTTGGCGAATGATCTTCTCATCTTTGTCAATGGTAATTCTGATTCTCTTAAGGCTTTTGTCCTCGTATGAAATCTATCTTCAATACCTTTCCAAAGATACCTCAACCAACCAAGTTAGATAAGGGATACTCAAGTTATGTGATGAACAATCCCAACAAGTGAAACTATGCGAGACAGTCCGAAGCAGTATCTTTTTCCTTCCTTTTTCTTTGTATAAGGTCCCCCTTTTCTCCAGAAATGAAGCTATGAAGAAAGTTCTTATCAAGGGCTATCTAGGGATGTATCACTTGTTCAAATTGGATGAGTGTAGCTCCAATGAGGGAGACAGAAAACCCTCGCAAGTTTTACGAAAATAGTACGCAACAGGTCCCCATTTGTCATTCTCTCCATGTGCAGCCCCCCATACCTCATGCGCCCATCCCTCAACATAAAATTCAACCTTCTAGGCCTTCCTAAGGACTAAAATGAGATGTATGAGTCGAGATGATAGAATGGGAAGGATAATTCACCAAAACATCGCAACCACACATGTATGGGCCATAATTTTGTCTCATGTGTGGTGTTTGGTTCTCTTCCACATATTGGTCTACCCAAATATGTACTAACTGACCATTTTCTTTTGTTTTGCAGGTTTAGACCATTTGTAGTGATTAAGAATTAGGAGTCAAAAGATTAAAAATGGAACTTTTAGACTCCTAATTAGGCGTAGTGGTCGATTAAAATGGGGAGTAAAAGTGGGAAGGGAGTGGAGGAGTGTAAAAATAGAGGGTTGGATTGACAGGGTAAAAAAAATTGAAAAGAAAAGAAAAGAAAGTGGTGGCCGGCTCCAAGGCGTTGCTATGGTTCAGCTGACATCATAATAACCTCACGCAGATGTCATCATAATCCCAAATTGTTTTAAACTCTTATAAATTTTTTATTTGTTCTCCAAAATTTTCAAAAAGTATATCAAAATTCATGAATTTTTATGATCTTTCATATGACATTCATATGTGATATATAAAATGAATTTGTTTTTATTTTTATTTTTAATTGTTGGAGTTTTCTTGAGCTAAAAAACACAAATTTTTGATTCATGAAGCCTTCACAAATAATTTAATATTTCATAATCGAACTTTACTTAAACAAATTCATTTTGTTAACCGAAAAACGTTAAAAAAAATTTAATAAAAATTACTTGTTTTTACATCGAAATGTGTATTTTTTTATTCCATAACTATTCAGGGATAAAATTATAAAGTAAAACATTATTTATAATAATTTTTACTAAATTGATATGTAAAAATATGCAGAGTGTATTTTATTGACGGTGCACGAATGCAGAGAAAAACAGTATTGACGGAGTCTAAGCACTGTTTTCATATGAACGGAGTCCATATTTGACAATTCGTACTCTTGACCACTACAAATGGTCTTATAAGTCGCGTGGGACACTCCCCAAGTGGTCGCAATTAATTTGGGATCAATTATATACTAATACTTCCAAAAATGAAAGAATGAGTCCTATTGTTTTGTCCTCTTGTCATGTGATGTCTTTTTGTACCCATTCAAATTTCTTTAAATAAAGTTAACTTTTTACATCATATTATTGGTCTGTAATATGTGTATGATGGTTCCAATAATTCATATGATGTACAATTACGGGAGAATAACCTTACTCATAATATAGTTCAATAAAGAAAACAGTGGGACCATAGGAGTTTGTTTTTGTTTCTAGGGGTTCCCTCACCCCCTTTTACGTATATATCAATAATGTTAGCCCCTACATTATTTATTTGGAGTCTAGAATATGTGTGGAATAACCCCAAATGGGTCTAGGGAGTCCCTCCCCAATATTCTTACTATTTTT